GGAAAATTCACGGCCCCCGGCCCTAATAACAGCCTTCTCATTTTTTTTACCTGACACTCGCTGAACATGCATGGTTTTTCCATATATTTTTTTATTGCGGGATAATAAAAACGATCCACAATTTTAGCCCCCGAAATTGATAAGTATTCACGGCCGATTGGGAACATACTACACCTGTGAGGGAGGAAATTAATTTCAATTTTCGCACGATGTAGGAATCGCGTAAAATCAGCGACGTCAACATGGATTGTACAGTACAAACGTCTGCAGATCACTAGCCAAAAAAAACTTCAACAGAAACAATATAGTTCAGAGGTGCAAACTATAGATAGCGATAAATTATCTCTTACCTTATATAAATCGACAGAAAAATCCCTGGAAACGCTGAAAATTTTGTAATTCACACCATAGTTAATAGAGTTCCCCTCTATTAACCATGGCCACATGCACAACCTCTGGATATGACTTCTCTCTTTCCTGCCTTTCGACTGCCGAACGTCCCGGATGTTAGTCGGGTGACACTGGGAACGATGTTACAATGTTTGGATTAAACGTTCGAATGTTTGAATTGAATGTTCCAATTGAATGTTGGAATTGAATGTTTAGATTGAACCGTTCGAATTGAATGTTGGAATTGAATAATCGAATGTTACGTTCGAATTGAATGTTTGGATTGAATAGTCGTATTGAATGTTCAGATTGAATAATCGAATGATTAAAAGAATGTCCAAAATGAAAGTTGGAATTGAATAAACGCTTGTTTAAATTGCATGTCCAAAATGTTGTAAGTGGATTTTGCATGCCTGCTTTGAATGTTTCACTTGATTGATTGAATGTTTGGAGTGTCGTATGTTTGAATGTTGTGAGTGTATTTTAAACGCCTGACATGAATGTTGCAGTGGAGGGTTCACTGTTTCAATTAAATATTTGAATGTTGCTAGTGAATGATGGAACGCTATATTCTTCAGCTTTACTATGCTCCAGACCATCGGTGGAATGTTGACGGGAATGATTCAGTGCAATTTATATTTATTGACCTACCGTCAAATAGCCTTTGGAGTCCTTTACCCATCCAATGACCACGTCGCTACCGGCCATCTTTCCATTCCCTGACGAGATTCCGAAACCTACCCATCCTGTAGTTGCCGCCTCAACAGCAAAAGACACGGTTTCTTGATCCCAGTCGACGGTCCAGTACAGCTTCATTAACTCTTTCGGATCCAGAGCTGCATAGTGAGCGTACTCAGTAGAGAGAACAGCGGCTCTGGCTGAGACCAGAACTGATAAAACCACTAGCACTGAAGAAGACATTTCTTTTATGCATCCGCACTTAATCGTGACTAAACGGTTCGCAACTGAAAGCTCAGCTGTATGACTCGGGATTACTCAATGCAACCTATGAATAGCACATTACAAACGATTTATTTTCATACGGCTTTGTTCTCAGATCCCGTGCTCAAGTGATGCAGCTAATTAAGGATACTTGAAATTCGTGTTCAATATAGCATTAGTAGCCATTGTTAGCATTTATGGATGCTAATTGAAATAAATCACCCTAAAGAGAGCTTTGTTCGTAATTGTATTTCCAATCGAGAATAATTCCATGAACCTCTCAGCAGGCTGAGAACAGGAGTTAATTGGAAACTTAAAATTTATATTGAATCGTGCATATGGAGTGACCACCGTGGATGAACTAGGAAAACTGCGATTGAAAGAATGATTTAGGCATCAGTAACAATGACGTTAAAACAACGACACCGCTGTGTACAATGACTTACACCAAGGTGTAAAGATACCAGGGCTACAAACAAGGCTACTGAATAGAAATAAACCGAAAGTCAATTATATTCATTCGTGTCTTACTGAGTTGCAAACCAGGAAAACATCACAGTGGTCCTTAACTTCATACGCAAACGTTTTGATGACGTCAATACAGAACTGCTGACATCAGAAATTGTACAATTTGACACAGATTCCGTGTACTTAACACTTTTTGAATGTGCTAACGTCCTCTCTGCCTCAAGTGTTATCTTACTTCATTTCAGCCGGTCAATCAATGCTCGCAAGAGCCATAATTGGGCTCTTGGCATAATTGGGCACTTGGCATAATTATGGCTCTTAATGCTCATTAATCTGTTGCGTGACATATGTTACTCTGGTCCTTAAACCATTTGGGCGAACGAGTGTCTCGAAAACAAAGACCTAGAAAACGCAGATTGTAGACCGCAGACCTCAAAAACTCAGACCTCGAAAAATTTGTTTTCGACATTTGATGATGTAAAAAAAAGAAAATTTTTGAGAGGATATTTAAAACAGCTACTCAGACGTTTGCAAAACGATTTAAATCATCTCGGTTCAAAGTTTTTGTCCACTCGTTACCCAAAGTTAAAATCGTTTTGAAGACAATTGAAACAACAAAATTAAAACTTGTCGGCATTAGCTTTCGTCCAGTTTCGCTCACGTATTGCACATCAAATTGATGTATGGGACACGTATGGGACATCTGATTGATGTTGCCTTTCTCTGATATTGACTTGATGACACTGCATGCTACCACGGTATCGAGAACACCACTTCAATTCATAGTACTTAAACCACCTTATTTTACATTGCAAGATGTTCCTCTCTACTTTAAACCGATAATTCCCGACTCAGTAAAAATTTAAACAAGTAGCGAGAAATCTCTTGGGAATTATGGTGACACACCCGAAGCTATTGCCTGCACGCCTTTTCACATTTGCTTGTACAGGTGCTAATGGCAAGGGATTAGTTTATTCACTTAACTATTTACATATTTCTTAATTAGCGAACTCCCCAAAAAATTGGTGGGCTTTGAGGAACAAATAATATCTTGGAAGAAATGCAAGGGCTTATTTTCGCTACAAACGGAGGCTACTGAGTCGGTTATCTTTCAAACATTTCCTCGCAGCGTGTGAAACGAAACGTTAACAAACAGAGTCGAGTCGACTTTTCAGAAAGACTCGATTACTGTACTTTGGAGCAAAGCTTCTCTCCTCTTCTGTACATAACAACAGCTACACACTCCACTGACTTGAATCAACTCAAAAGAGTCTTTCATTGAATTTTTTTTAAAAGATTTAGAAATCACATTGGGGAATATTGTATACTTCCTGCTCTTAACGGAGAAATATCTAATCATGAATTGACGCCTTAAGACCAATCAAGCGCGAGCGAAACGTGTGAAGTATTATAATTTGTAACTTAAAAGTTAGATTATTGTAATTCTCTCCTGTCTGGTCTTTCACTAAAGCTGATTCCGAGGCTACTGTACATCCAGAACTAATAAGGTAAGTTTGACTTCGTCAATCCGTTTTGTTACAGTACTGGTGAGAAATGTGTCTCATACTGTAACTAAAAAGGCACATCTAAATCACGCACGCAACTTACTAAATAGGGAATCAGCCCTAGAAAATGAAACATTTTACAAAAAAACTAATAGTATAGCCGAAAACAAATTATGATCCGATGAAAATTTTCATGAGAACAGGAAGTTTAAGCTTACTTCTCAACTACGAGCAATCATTTTAGTGAGCCAGGTACTATGCAGTGCATCTCTTGTGTGCATAGGTCTTCGAGCGCATGCGCCTCTTTGCAGGACAAAGTTAAAAAATAGTTTACAACCGATACTTGCAAATAACTACAAATGTGTTTCCCAGATACCATTGCGACACCACAGCTCTTCTAGTCGGCCTCGAAGTTGTGAAGCTCTTTGTCGAACATCCGGGTCTTGCTCAAAGCACAAATGTATTTAACAAATGGTAAACACCACAGCGTACACTATTGAGTTATGGATGCACGCGGGAGGTTGCTAAGCACGAAAGAAGCGTAATAGTCGCTCGAGGCGATAGCCGAGAGCGACTCTAGCCTCTTGAGTGCTT